ATGTTAATCTTCTTCTCATGCTCTTCGTCCCTACTCTGTTCTTAGTTACTCTCCTTATATCAAAGAAGACATTTGGCATTTGTTTTTTAGGGATTGGCTGGCTTCACTTAGCATAATCTGCTCTAATGCCATACATTTCCCTCCAAATTCTATGATTTTGTCATTTTTTAATTCTTTCACCCATTCCTCACTGTCTGGGTCAGTGTAGCCTTAAATATCGAAGTAGGGTACTGTCAGTTGCCAAGTTCTTTTTCTTCAACATTACAGTGGTTTTTTTTTTTTTTACCTTTTTTTATTAAACTTAGAGTCAGCTTGTAAATATTCAGAAAATAATTTTCTGAAATTTTTATTAAGATTGCATTGAGTCTGTAGATCAAATGTGGGAGAATTTGACAACTTGATAATATTGAGTTTGCCTGTGTATGAACATGAAGCATCTTGTCATTTAATTAGTGCTTTGATTTTTATCAATTTTGTATTTTTCCTTATATAGATTTTATGCATGTTTTATTAGATTTATACTAAGGTATTTTATATTTGGGGGTGTTGATGGATATCTTACTGAATTTTAAATCCCAGTTAATTTTAAATCCCAGTTGTTCTTTGCTGTTGCATAGGAAAGTATTTGCTGTTGATATGATTCTACACCGAGAAGACCCTAAAAGTTCCACCAAAAAATTTCTAGAACTAGTAAATGAATTCAGCAAAGTAGCAGGTATAAAATCAACACCCACAAATAAAATGCATTTCTGTGTATCAGTGACAAATCCTTCAAAAGGGAAACAGGGGAAAACTACCCCATTTACAATAGCCTCAAAAACAAAAACAAAGTAAACAAACAAAAAACTTGGGAATCAACTTAATGAAAGAGGTGAAAGATCTATATAATGAAAATTATAGAACCCTAAAGAAAGAAATCAAAGAAGACCTTAGAAGATGGAAAGATCTACCTTGCTCTTGGACAGGCAGAATTAATATTATCAAAATGACCATACTACCAAAAGCACTATACTGAGTCAATGCAATTCTGATCAAAATCCCAATGACATTCCTCAGAGAAATAGAAAAAGCAGTCATGAACTTTATCTGGAAAAATAAGAGACCCAGAATAGCCAAAGCAGTCCTTAGCAGGAATGGTGAAGCAGGTGGCATCACTATACCAGACCTTAAACTATACTAAAGAGCAACAGTAACAAAAACAGCATGGCTTTGGCACCAAAACGGACTGGTAAACCAGTGGTACAGAATAGAGGACGTAGAGACTAACCCACAAAATTACAATTATATTAGACAAAGGTCCCAAAAACACGCATTGGAGAAAAGATAGCCTCTTCAACAAATGGTGCTGGGAAAACTGGAAATCCATATGCAACAAAATGAAATTAAGTCCCTCCTATCTTTCACCATGCACAAAACTCAACTCAAAATGGATCAAGGGCCTAGGAATAAAACCATAGACCCTGTGTCTAATAGAAGAAAAAGTAGGTCCTGATCTCCATCATGTGGCATTAGGCCCCAACTTCCTTAATAAGACTCCTTTGGTGCAAGAATTAAAAACCAAGAGTCAATAAATGGGATGGACTCATAAAAAGTTTCTTCTCAGCAAAAGAAACAATCTGTGAGGTGAATAGGTAGCCTACATCTTGGGAGCAAATCTTTACCCCTCACATATCAGATAGACATTTTTATTATTAACTTTGTGTATTGCTGTATTGCTTTTTAGTTTTAGGAACCTTTTGTGGATATTTTTGGACTTTCTACAAAGATTTCATGTCATCTATAAAGGAAGCTTTATTTCCTCCCTTCTAACATATATAATATATATTTCATTTACTTTTCTGATCTTATTGCACTAGCGAGGACTTTTATTATTTTTTTTTTGAAAATCAGTGATAAGAGAGGATATCCATGCCTCATTCCTGATCTGAATGGGAAAGCTTCACATTTCTCACATTATGTATGATGTAGGGTTTTATACATGTTGTCCATCAATCAAGTTGAGGAAGTTACTTTCCCTTCCTACTTTGCTGGTAGTTTTTATCATGAATGAATGCTGGACTTTACCAAATGCTTTTTCTATATCTATTGATATGATCATGTGATTCCTCCCCTTTAGCTTGTTAATGAATGCTGGCTTATGTAAATGAATTTTTGAATATTGAACCACTCTTGCATACTTAGGATCAATCATAAATGGTTATGATATGTAGTTAATTTTATACACTATTTGATTCAGTTTTCTAATATTCTATTGAGGGGTTTTATATCTGTATTCAGGTGATATACTTTCTGCAGCTTTCTTTGCTTATGGACTTATAGATTTGCAGTTATTAGTAGAGAAACACTCATGTTTTCTTTTAGTTCCTTTATTCTATTTTTATAAGTTAAGTTTTAATCAATCCATACTTGAGTTATAGTGCAATTTATTTTTCCTTCTGGTCAACTGCCTGGTCATTCTAATGCCATTCTTTGAATGGACCATCATTTACTATTTTGAGATATTCTATAGGCATTTTATAGAACATTTTTATTATCTTTGGGTCTATTTCTTGAGTCTCCTCTATCAGTCTCTGTCTTTTGGTGTATTATAAAGTTTGTTTTGACAATGCAAATAGCTTTTAGGAATTGCTTTCTGACTACTATGCTCAGTACTATATTTTAATTTAATGTCCCTTCTCTGTCCCTATCTTGCATATGTGGATATATGGATTTCTTCTCTATACAAATAAAGTACCCATTTATTGACTCTATATTACATAATATTTGATGCCATTTTATGTCTTAAATGTAACTCTAATATCTGTTATTTATAAAAGCTGAAGCCTAATATTCAGCCAGGTGCCTCTGGCATGTTTGTGAAATATACCAGTTTTGTTGGACTTTTCAAGAAGGTGGATTTGCTCAAATCTCCTTTTTAAAATTCATATCCATGAATTTTTCACATCATACTTACCAAAATGTAACACAGTTACAACAACTGAACTTAAATGCTGATAATTATTTAAGTTCCATTATTTTACCCAGACACTTGCCTTGCCAGGTGAAGCCCTTCTCAGTGATTCCCAGGGCTTGGAAACAAAATGCTCTCAGCTGCCTCATTCTCAGCAGTTGCTGTCCCAGTCCATCTGGTCCCTTTTGTGAACTATGCTTCCATTGCTAAAGACATGGGCTTAGTTTTCCTTGTAAAGTACACATACAAAGGGTCCCTGCTTTCATTTTCTTCTTACTGTAGAAATAGATATTGTAACATAATGGTGATGTTCCTGCATTTCGGCTTGGTTTAGCTTCCCCTCAAATAACCTTGGTAAATAAATGGAATGGTCTTCTCTCTTCACTACCCAGAGCAAGAGGGGTTCCCCCCCGCAAAAAAAAAAAACACCTGGGTAAAATGGGACACTTCTTTATCAGTTTGTTACTACCAGCAACCATTTCTTTACAAACTATCTTGTTTGTTAGACTCCAAAATAAAATCCGTGTTTTGAAAGAGCTTTTCTCCCTTATATCGGAATGGCATTTTAATAAGCCTTTTGAACAGATTTAAACTTATTTCACATCAGCTTTCTTTTCTGAAGCCAAGTCATACCAGTTTTGTTTAGCTTTTCTAATCCTTTAATCATTTTATCCTCAGCATGTTTCCAAATGCTTCACATTTCCATAGATTCCAGAACTGGTCTGAGTTCTTTAATAAAGCCTGATCAGGATCGAATGAAATGGAAGGATAGCTCCTTTGCTGTTATGTATTTTGAGGTGTATTATTTCCAAAATGAAATAGTTATGCAACAGTACAATGCTTCTGCATGGCCCCATACACTCCTCGTGACATGTATGTCCCCATAGGATGAGCATTATGCATGAGCCTGTGTAGCTACACAGAGATCTGTGCTGAAAAACATTCTGTACTTGGTTTGATGCTGTGTTCCTGCTGTCTTTATTTAAATAAGTGGTTCCTTCCTTTCATTTTTCATTGAATCCTACAAATCAAGTAGTTGACCCTGCTTGTTGTTGATGACTAGAGGACATGGTTGGTAATCATAAGCCATTTCTAACCCACCACCCTCAGTAATAACTATAGGAGCTAGACCCCAGGTGAGGCAGTGTGGTCACAAATTTACATTTCCTTTCCTGGTTCACACCTCCTCCCCCACTGTGCTTAGAGATGCACTCACTGCCCACCTGTTGTCTCTGTTTTCCTTTGGATTTGTCTCCTTCTCATTGCTCCATTATCTCCACTCTGGCACTGAGGTATATTTGTTTATAGAATCCAAATTTCTGGTACTCAGTAGTTTCTTCCAGAGATTCTGCAAGGATCTTTTATCCTTTATAGGCTTCCCACTTATTACCTCTTCTCCAGTGTATTGTCCACTTATTTCCAAGAATTCTTGCCTCCTCTATTCTATTTGTTTAGGACAGCTAGTGATTCTGTACAGTAGTTAATTTCCCACCCAAAGTTTAGATTTTTCCCTGACTTTTTGCAAAGAGGCTGGGATACTAATTGCAGGCATTCTGTCTTGGTAGAAATTTCGATTCCAGTTCCATATCAGGATTCTGGGGTATGTGGGGATGTACCTTGGAAACATTTTAAACTTGAGCCATAGTTACAAGTAAGAGGATATTTTAGTTCTATTTGTTTTTACCATAAAGCTAATTCCAGGTGCCAAATCTAATATGTAATTTAACTTTGAATAATCATTGTGTATGTCATACATTGGTTCATTTATCAATTTATGTTCATTTTTTTCTTGTAGCTTAACAAACAACAACTACAGTTACTAAAAGAACGGTTCCAGGCCTTCCTCAATGGGGAAACCCAAATTGTAGCTGATGAAGCATTTTGCAATGCAGTTCGGAGTTACTATGAGGTAAGTTTGAGGAGCTTTGTTTTGGGCACTTTGCTGCTTTTTAAACATTTTTTTCATGGTTTTCTCATTTTAAGAAATTTAATGATAGGAAGTCTGAGTTTGCAATCTTCTCAAAAGCATTGTCAATTCTATTTTGCAATTTAAAAAACTCTAATTCCACAGCCTGGTTTTGAGAGATAAACAGAATTGAAAATTATTCACATCTTTTGAAAAGTAGGCTATTTAGAAAAGTCTTCTGGTGGTGATTGATACAGCTGAGTATAGCTATCTTTAGGTCCACATGTCTAAATTATCCTTTTTAATCAGGATTTCAATAGTAAGTTGCTATCTTATACCATTTTGTCCCCTAAGCGTTATAATAATTAAGGCCAGTAACTAATTTTAAGAGGATAAATGGAACTTTATTTTCTTCTTGAAGGAATAATACTACTAATACAGTCTTGCTCTTCTGCTTTTAGCTTGTGACTCATTGGGGATTATCTATGGATTTCCATATGAGCACCAGTTTTCACACATGGTCATTAACTACTTTATTGAGTTGCCAATAGATATTAAGTTTAAAGAGTTCTCTTGTGTTCTAAGCATTTCAGAGGCCTTAGGAGAATAGGCTACTTCCGTTCTATAGACACTCTAGACCATTCTGCTAAAGAAACATGTTAACATGCAAACATATATTAGACTATTTTAAAAAAGGAAAATGGGTACAAAAAATGGTTTGAGCTTTCCTGAGGCAGGGATTTTTTTTTAATGTGAAAAATGAAGTAACTGGATGTTACAGATGCTTGGAGGGGTTTGTAATCCAAGAATGGTATGCACTAGAGTTTACCTAATGCCCCTCCAGAGAGACTTCTGTTGGCCTATGCCTTGGTCTCAAGATGAAGTCTGGCTTACCAAGTGTGTATCTGACGCATATCTGTGGAAAAAGTGGATACACTGTCTAAGTAGACCTTGACCTGGAATATCTTATCAAATGTACGATCTTCCATTTCATATCAAGATTCAAAGTCTGAGTCTTGCTTGATGAAATCTTGCCCTGAATCTTAAAAGATGAGATGTAAGATCCTACACTTGCATCATGTGATAAAAGTCAAAAAAGTCTGTATTCAAGATAAAGAAAATGAAACTCAAAAAAGTAATTTGTATAAATACATGTAAATATTTTAACAAAACAGCTTATTTTGGGTTTTGGTAAGTGCATCATGGCACTGTAAGATGATAATATTAGGGAAACTGAAATTGGGTGAAGGAAATGAGAGAGTACTCTCCACTATCCTGGTATCTTTTTGTAAATCTAAAATTTTTCCAAAATAAGTTTTTTTTTCTTTTAAAGTAAGTATAGTACAATCTGAACATAGTGTAATAAAAGGCATAGAGAAGCTGTGCTTATATAATATTGTGACTCTAATGATAAGAGATTGTATCCCCAATGTATTATACCTGCTGATCATGTTCTCTTCTGGGCATTATCAAGTGATTGATAGAGACAAGTACAAGGTGATCAGGTGTGTAGCATATAATATTTGGTTACTGGAAAGATCTAGAGCTATTTACTCTGGTCACAGATAGGCTTTCTGTTGAACATGGTTCAAAAGCAAAATGAGGACTAAGATGGAAACTGAGGCCGGTAAGATTTCCTTTCTGTTATACAAATGATGTTTTTTGAGTGAGTCTATGAAAAGCCTTTTTGCATTTTGATATTGTAGGTCTTTATATTCTAAAGACCCTTTAGAGTTATCTGGGTCTAGAAATGTACCTTAGTGATATGAAAGGCCCTTTGTTTAATACCCAGCACTGGGGAAGAGAAAGAAAAAGTCATCTGTCTGTTCTTTATGTTTTGTGGTACCTTCAGATATTTGATCTAATTTACTCCTCTTTAATACCTGGAATCTTAGTATGAACCCCAACATATATTTCTTTTTATCCACGTTAGATGATCAAAAACCTTTCTTCATGGTAAATAATTTCTTTTAGTTAGGTCATGCTAGAATTAGATTTTTCATGCTGTTTCTAGGCAAAATTTTCTTAGAGGTGTGTGTGTACATGACATTTATCAATTTTAATATATATTCACCATGGATACTATTCAAAGTATATAGTATAAAGTTAAAAATGATTTTTATATGACCATATAATTTATATTACAACCTTTTAAAATGTCTTACATATTATGAAGTAAAGAGAATAATAAAGAATTTTTTAAAATTCTATCGATTTTTGTGGGGGGGAGTAATCAGGGATCGAACACAGGAGTACTCAACCACTGAGCCACATCCCCAGCCCTATTTTGTATTTTATTTAGAGACAGGGTCCCACTGAGTTACTTAGAGCCTCAACATTGCTGAGTCTGACTTTGAACTTACAATTCTCCTGTCTCAGCCTCCCAAGTCACTGGGATTACAGGTGTACTCCACTGTTCCTGGCTCATCAATGTTTTTTATCATAGTTTTACACATAGTTAGAAAACAATGTACCCAAACTTCTAAACCACCTAATTAGGCAGACATGATGGTAGAGAAGGATCTGAACAGGAAAAGAAGAGGGGGGGAAGCATATAACATGCATAATTATTTATTAAAAGCATGCATAAAAGTTAGCATTTACAATTTTATGGTTGCAAATTCTTGATAGATCCTACTATATATTCATTTATTTTAATATTAGTGGTTTTCTCCTTCTTCAGGCATCTCACTGTCGAGGAGAAGAGCTAAAATGACCACTGATTCTATAAGTTTTTTTTTCTTTCTGGTCATATCTCTTATTGTTTTTGTTTTGCTTTTCATTTTAGAAAACTTCAGCTGACTTTGAGGATGGGTAAACATAGCTTTATTGCAATTTGTTATTTTCCAAGTTTTCTTCCCATCAGATAGCTACATATGTTTCCTGAAATTCAGGTGGACTTCATCCAAATACAGCAAATGACAGTGTGATTTATAATGGATATGTGGAAAAGTAAATGGCTTTTCTCTTGAAGATTTCCAAAAGACAGTATATAGTTGCTTGCCAATGGTTTTCAGCATAAGAGAAACTTTCAAGTTATCATACAAAAAAATGGATATTAGACCTTTTTTCCTCTTTCGTGTGTGTGTGTGTGTGTGTGTGTGTGTGTGTGTGTGTTTTGGAAGGGGGTACTTGGCTTTGTTTACAAGTTTTTAGATCAGATGTGTACTTTTATTATTACTTATGTTTGTTCTCTTCAGGTTTTAGAGAGTAAATAAGAATTCCATAGTTTTTAATCTTCTAAAAATTAACTAATTAGTGCTGGAGTTGTACTTCAGTGGTAGAGTGCTTGCTTAGCATGTGTGAGGCACTGGGTTCGATAGGAACAAATAAATAAAGTAAAGGTTAAATTCTTTAAAAACAAATTAACAAAGTAGGACACAGCATGTTGCTCAGTGGTAGAAAGCTTGCCGGGCATAGATGAGGCCCTGGGTTTGATCCACAGCACCACAAAGGAAAAAAAAATTATCAAAGTAACATTAAAATAAGTCTTGATACAACAATACCATCATTCCATTTGCTATTCAGATCTCCTGCTGTTGAATGAAACAAATGAGAAGGCTTTCAATAAATTAAAAAAAAATTATTTTGAGTGGTTCTTATTTGATTATGAAATTTATAACTAATTATTTTCATCTAAAAATGAAACTTCAATTTTGGCCCTTTTATTGCATATTGTTATGCAAAATGTAGTCAGATTCTAGAACTCAGAAGTTTTCTGCTTGAACATTAAGAACACTTTAAAAAAGAAGTAATGTTTAAATTAGAGAATCTAAGAAATATTAAAAAGAAGAAAAGTTTATATAATTGTAAAGCTGCTCTGAAAATAATCCATTATGAAAAAAAAGAGGAAAAGAAGACAAATATTTTCTACATAATTCCAAGACCTACAGACAACTTATTTTAAGTGTTTCTCTTGTGTGATTATGAAACTGAACTTGTTTTAAGCTTTTTACATAATGTTATGTATTAAAGAATTAATATCAAATGTTTTAAATATCAAATTAATATCATGTGGTTTTAGGTAACTTCTTTAGGTGCTCATTTCTAAATGTGATTTAATTTTCTCATCACTAGACACTTAAATTTTCTTCTTTTTTGTGTATTAAAATGATGAAAGGATCATTCCTATTCTTAAATTGATGTTGAAGAATTTCTACAAACTGTATAACTGGGTAATGGGTGATGAGCATTGCTTAAGCTCTTCATGTAGATTACAAATTGCCTGGAGAAAAGCACTAAAAATTTATGCTACTATAGCAAAAGTGTGCTGGTTGTTTTCCTGTGTGTTTGGTATTATCAAAAAGTAAATGCCAACCATTGGATTCACTCATTTCTACTTTACTATTAGTGATGTTTCACATTTCCACGTTGTTCATTTATATTTCTTTTTTTAAGAATTACTTGTTCACATCATTTGTTTTTTCCATTTGGGTATTCATCTTTTAAATACTGATTTATAGGTGGTGTTTACACACTAAATAGACAACCCTAAGTTAGACTATGGTTATTTTCTTCAATTTATCTTTTGCCCTTTGCATTCATTTGTTATAAATTTTCTTTCCTCTGATATTATTTTTTTTGGTTCAGTAAGAATGAAAGGACGTTCATATTCTAGGTAGAGATTATTCTCCATTTGATTTTCTTTGGATTCTATTTTCTTGTTCATAAATCATTGCTGACATTTGTTTAAATCACATTTTCCCCTCCCTCCTTATTCCAGCCACCTCCTCTCTTGAATTAGTAGTGCTCTCTATAACTTGGGCTCCACCAAGAGTCATGTGTTGGTGTGACAGAGCCACTGCTGTAGGTCTTTCTCCCCATCTGCAGAAGGAGGGGATGACCTGTAAAGCTTTCCCCAATTGCACAAGTCTGTGATTGTTAAAATTTGTTTCTGAGTTATTCTCCTTTGCCTTGTCTGAAATGCTCTTGCATCTCCAAAAAAAATTTAAAAGGGACCACAGCTTGATTCTATACTTTCAGCATAAATCTTATGATTTTTG